CAAAAGCAAGCAAAATAAAGCTAAGCTAGATAATGCATAATAAAGCATAATCAAGCAAGTATAGCTTAGCAAGGCCGTCGTACTCTCACAAACTTCTCCCGCTTGTTTTTTCCATTGTACAGGTCGATCTTCTTCTGCTCGGAGAGGAGTGTGGCGCAAAGGGCGGACTCGGAAATGGTTGCTCGAGCACGGAGCAACGACTGGCACTGGCGCCAATTGGGTCCGAGGCTGGAGAGAACCATCGAGACAAACATGTCGTCAGGGGTGAAACGCCGCACTTCTTAATGTGGCAGTGCAGATTGCGGCACCTATTGATATACGGTCCTGCCTTCTTTCCTTGTTGCATTTTCATTGATGGCAGTTGACTGAGCAGACGACGCATGGTAACTGGATCGGTGTTGAGAGAAGCTCAAATTCGAAGCTCCAAGTGTAGAAGTCCTTGCCATCAAAGGGAATTGAAGTCTTCAGCTTTGAAGTCATAACAAATTTTGTTTGCATGAGTGCAATTGCCTCTGACCGTGCGCGATGTTGACTTTCTTGCGTTGGAGCTGAACCTTGACGATTGTCAAAGGTGAAAGATCTCTCGGAGTTGACGCGGCGGTCTTCTCCAGGGAGAGGAAGTCCAGCAACTCCTCTGGCGTAGCTTGAGCCGTCAATGCTCATGGCTTGATGGCTCTCAAGGGCGTTGATGCGTGAGACCAGCTGCTCGAAGAGAGCGAGGCTGACGGAGGTCACCGCAGATGACGCATTAGTTGTTGCTGGTGGTGGTGGGCCTCAAGAGTCTGCTGTAGCTTTCCTTCAGTAGCCATAGTAATGCTGACTTGTAATTGGTAGTTTTAATGAATGAGTTTATAAGGGGTTTGTTCTAGGAAGAACAGATCTTGGCAGGTCTTATAATCCACTCTAGCTCTCATACCATGTTGATATAACCAAAGGATCGAAGTGGACAGGATAAGGTTGCTAAGTTGTAAGAAGACAATGAAGTGTCGGTTCCGAGATAGGTCGGGCTATCGGGGTTGCGTTCTGGCGAGCGATATTTGTCGTAGCAGGCACGAACTTGCGAAGGAGGCTGACATGGAAGGCATCATATATACACCAGTCGTCGGGTAGGAGCAGTTTCGCGGTGACAGGTGCCACCATCTGGTGATCTTGAAGGGCCCACAAAATCGTGGACGTAACTTCGACGAGCCGGGTAGGCGAAGGTTCTTTGTGTCGAGTAGAACCAGTTGCCCAGTTGTCATGGTATTAGCCTTGCATCGGCTGCTTTCTCGCGAATCTCCTGAAGCTCTTTCAGATAATTAAGACCGCGGGACCGGGTTCTCAAGTGTAATTGTTGTAGGTACTATCGGTTCCAATCCGTAGTTTAAAAACGGTGAGTGATTAGTCGTGCTGGACGGGGCGTTGTTGAACGCAAACTCCAGCATGGCGAGCGAAGTTTCCCAGCGAGTGGGATCAGGGCAGTTTGTCCTGATCAACTGCTCCATCGTTTGATTGGTTCACTCGGTCTGGCCGTTTGTTTCCGAGTGGTATGCTAACAAGAACTGTAGTTTTGTGCAATACTGCGCCCACGTTTCCTTCCAAAAGTTCGATGTGAACTTTGGGTCACATGTCACTGATGATCGCTGAAGGGATTCCGTGCTGTCGCACGACGGTCAAGATGAAGAGGCAGGTAGTTTCTTCGGCTATGATTGTAGTACGACATGGTGCGAAGTGTGCCATCTTCGTGAGGCGATTGACGACGAGAATAGCGTCATTGCCAGACGACCCAGTTGGCAGCCCCGTGACGAAATCCATCGTCACCTGTTGCCACGGTCGTTCGGGTGGCTTGAGCGGTTGCAGCAATCTAGCTGGCCGTTGGCGTGTCGATTTCACGGCTTGGCACATCCTGCACGAGGACACATAGCGATGCACGTCGTTAGCAAAATCAGGCCAATCATATTGTCGGTGCAGCAGCTTTTGGGTTTTATCAACTACGATATGTTCGGAGAGGTTAACATCAGGGACCTCCTGGATCACGAGTTCATGCAGCAGCCAATAAGCAGGAACCCAAATCCGATCAGTTCCGGCTTTCCGGTAATAGCTCCCCTTCTACGCCGTTGCCTGCTGGTGATTTGCAGTTGTGAAGAATGGGTCCGTAGTGTAGCCGTGGGTGAATTGTCCCGTAAGTGTTTATATCACCGAAGGATCGAAGTGGATAGGATAAGGTTGCTAAGTTGTAAGAAGACAATGAAGTCTTGCAATGACCTTGTTAAGGAAATTATAAAAGAGAACAAGATGATTAAGATAGAGTTAGAAGGAGCTTCAAGTAGAAAACTAGCTAGCCATGTACTCTGAGGGGTACATTCCTTTCTTTAACAGTGGTGCATAGCTACAGTAACTGCGACTATTGCCATTCTCAACACTTACCACATTGCATGCGTAACCTCTGATGTGGTAGTCGGTTGGTCAACAGTCGGAACCGTTGACTTACAGCGACTGTTGACCTTCGAGTGACTCTCGAGCTACCGCGTGGTCTATACGAGCATATCGCGATACTGATGTTGTTGCATTGCTTCACTATGGAGTGGCGCGCTCGGATAGAACCTTTGGGAATGTTATAATATCCTACCGGTTATTTTAACAGTAACTAGCAGGCTTGAATGTGTGATGAGCATTCCAGCAGATTAAAGTGTCGGTTGGGTAAGGGCATCGGCGATGTTATTCGCCCCCTTCTTGTACGTGATGCATTAGGTGAAGTGGCTCTTCATGTAGTTCAGCCACCGAATTTATTGCGGGTTGAGGTTGTGTTGAGCTTGCAGGTACTATAGGACTTATGTTCCGTGCGCACAGTGACGTCGGCGCCCACCAAGTAGCATCGCAACAGTTTTAACGTGTGTAATAGGGCAAGCATCTCCTTGTCATGTATCTGGTAGATGCGTTCGGCTGCCTGCAGCTTGCGTGACTCGTAGGCTATCGGCTGCAGCTGTCAGAATGTGATGTTTGTCTAGCCTGCAGTGGGGTACTCTATAGCGAGTACAACCCACATTAGGGTTTGCTATATAAACTCAACTGCCTGCTAGTGAAAACCATTCTTCCTGATTCTCGTTTCTGCCTGCTGTTTTGACATGCTATCAGAGCGGTTACGCTCCTGGCCTGTGGGCCCACCGTTAGCTTCCGCTGCTGTCCTGTCTGTCGCGCGCCTCGTTGCGCGCGACGTTTTTTCTTCCCGCCACGCGCTCGGGGCGCATGGCGGTTTTATTTTCTGCTTGCCGCGCGCACGGAGCGCGCGGCGATTTTCTGCCCGCCGTGCGCTCGGGGCGCGCGGCGGTTTTCTGCCCCGTCGACCCGCGCGTCGCCCCCCGTCGACCCGCGCGTCGCCCCCCGTCGACGGTCGCGTCGCCCCCGCTGCTTCGTCGCGACGCCCTGGGGAGCCGCTCGCGGCCCCCCGCTGCCTCGTCGCGGCGCCCCGGGGAGCTGCGCGCGGCCCCCGCTGCCTCGTCGCGACGCCCTAGGGAGCCGCGCGGGGCCCCCGCTGCCTCGTCGCGGCGCCCTGGGGAGCCGCGCGCCGCCCCCCCCCCTCCCCCCCCGAGCTACTGCCCCCGCTGTCCCCCGCTGCTGCCCGCGCTGTTGCCCGTGTTAGGGTTTGGGGGTGGCGAGTGTGGGGGTGGCGAGTGAGGGGGTGACGGGTGTGTGCGCCGTTCCCTGCTCCTCCTCCTCCTCCGTCTCCCACTGCTGCAGCTGCCGCTGAGGGGGGTGGATGTGTGGGAGCCGTCGGAGTGGTACTAGGGGGGTGGCGTGTGAGCAGTGCTAGAGGTACAGCAGGGGGTGTGTGAAAGGGGTGTGGGACAGCTGGGGGAAGTTGAGTGGAGGCAGCCGTCTTGTCGTCCGCAGCGCCTGTAGTCCAGAGAGCCAGCTGCGTCTGTGGCCGTGTAGTCCGGGGCTCTGCGCCTGGTAGCCACAGTGTGAGCATGTCAAACATATGTTATATTGTTTATATCTAGGCTGTAGTGGGTTAGATACTAGAGGGTATAGGGTTGTTTCTTGTACCTCTCGAACTTCTCCTAGTGCAACTTTTCTCTCGACTTTCACATGGTATAGAGCTTAGGTTCCTACCACGGGCCCACCTTTTCTAGACTTTTTTTTACCTGCCCGAGGCGCGCTTTGCGCCCTGCCCGAAAATTTCGCAGCCTCTTAGAGGCCTGCCCCGTTAAGGAGCGTCGCGGCCCCCTCTAAGGCCCGTTCGCGGCCCCTTAATCCCCCTTCGCGGCGCTTCGTGTTCTCCCCTTCGCGACGCCACGCGACCCTTTCGCGGCCCCTTGAGGCCCTTACGCGTCGCGTCGCGGCCCCTACGCCGCCCTTCGCGGCCCCTTCGCCGCCCTTCGCGGCCCCTTCGCCGCCCTTCGCGGCCCCTACGCGGCTCATTGGGGTCCCTTCGTGGCCCCGTCGCGGCTCCCTCACGGCCCCTTCGCGGCTCTTCCGCCGCGCTTCACGGCCCTGTCGCGGCCTCCTCCGCAGCTCGTCGTCACCAGCTGCCGCCGCCCTGCCACCTTGCCGCCGCCTCGGCAGCACCTGCCGCCGCACCTGCAGCTACTGTCTCTCGCGCCTCGGACGTCGCCGCTCCTGCCGTGACGACCGCCGCCACTGCTGCTGTGCCAGCCGCCGCTGCTCTTGCCGTGACACCTGCCGCTGCTGCACCTACGACAGCAGCCGCCGCCGTTGTTGTGTCAGCCGCCGCCGCTCCTGCCGTCCCAGCTATCGCTGCTACTGCTGTGACAGCCGCTGCCGCTGCTGCAGAGACAGCCGCCGCCGCCGCTGTTCGTCGGAGCCACCGCCGCCGTCCCGGCCCTGTTCTGCCGCCCTTTCGCGGCCCTGACCTTGCTCGAGCGCCTCGGCCCTGCCCCACCACCTTTGGCCTTCTCTAGCCCGCCCCTGGTAAGCGCATCGCCGAGTCGCGCCTCAAACTGCTACTACCTCACCTTGCTTGCTTTCTCTGCTGCTGCTAGCCTGCGTCGCCTGCTGCCATGGCTAGCCCTGCTGTGCTTACCTTCGATGCTGAGGGGCGAGCGATAGATTTTGAGGTCTGGCTTGACGACTTGCAGCTGTTCCTGCAGTGTGATAGCAAAGACGATGTCTCGCTGCATGACCTCACGTCTGGTGCTTCCCCCCAGCCTGCTACTGATGCTGATGCTACTGTGCGCTCTCGCTGGAACACTCGCGATGCTGCTGCCCGCCTTGCTGTGCGTAGTCACCTGCCGTCTGCTGAGCGTGCGCACTTCACTCAGTTTAAGACCGCTAAGACCCTGTTCGATGCTGTCGTTGCACGCTACTCCTCCCCTGCCTCTGCTGCCCTTAGCCGCATCATGCTGCCCTACCTTTTCCCTGACCTCGCTGCCTTTGCTACAGTTGCTGACCTCATTACGCACCTCCGCACTAGTGACACTCGCTACCGCGCTGCGCTTCCTACTGAGTTCTGCGTCAAGAAAAACCCCCCCCCCATGTACATCACCCTCTACTACCTAGTCACCCGTCTTCCTGACTCCCTTCGCTCAGTCAGGGACCACTTCCTAGCTCTCTGCCCCACCACACTCACCGTTGACCTCCTCGAGAAGGAGCTCCTTTCAGCCGAGCAGAGTATAGCCGCTGTCGGAGCCTCTCGCGGTGACCCTCGTACCCCTATCTTTGAGGGGTGCTCCCCTGTTCCCCTTTTGCCCTCTGTTGCCTCTGCTGCTGCTGTCGACCTCCTTGGCACTGAGTCGGTCGGAGCTGCGTCTGCCCCTGGCGGGAGGCGCCGCAACAGCAAGGGCAAGGGGGGCAAGGGTGCTGGAGGAGCTGGCGGGGGTGGTGGTGGTGGCGGTGGGGGCGGCCGGGGGGGTGGGGGTGGAGGTGGGAGTGGGGGCGGGGGTGGGGGCTCTGGTGGCGGCGGTGGAGGCGGGGACAGTGGCAGCGGCGGCGGTGGGACTGGAGGAGGTGGAGGTGGCGGCGGAGGCAGTGGAGGCGGCAGTGGCGGGGGTGGCGGTGGTACTGGTCGGGGTGGCTCGGTGCAGAGGGGAGGCTCCGGTGGTGGACAGCGTCCGCAGCAGCAGCGCTCTCGTGAGGCCCCGCCGCCGCAGCAGCTTCACCAGTGGTACGCTGGGCGTCAGCGGCCTGGGGGTGCTGGTCCCTGTACGTACTTCTTTCGTACTGGTGACCGCACTGGAGAGCAGTGTGGAGGCGCGCACACCACTCAGCGCTGCTTCGGTCGCCTGACAGACGCCTGGCGTCTTAGGTTCCCTGAAGCCACTGAGCTCCCTCGCTGGCATGAGCTGCTTAGGTCGGGCGTTGCTATCTTTGATCTTGACTATGATGCTATCCTTGCTGCCATGTATGTTATGTCTACTAGTGATGACGGTGACTGTTACCTGAGTGTTCCGCCCGACCCGGGCGGTGCAGCTTTTGCTCTAGGTGCTAGTGAGTCTGCTGCTCCAGGTGCTAGTGAGTCTGCTGCTCCAGGTGCTGGTGAGTCTGCTCTCTCAGGTACCACGTCGGCTCAGGCGTCGCACACTTTCACCCTTGACTCGGGTGCTTCCCGCTCCTTCTTTCGAGACCGCACCACTCTTACGCCGCTCAACCGGCCGGTTGCGGTCTCCCTGGCAGACCCCTCTGGGGGTCCTGTCCTTGCTCACTACTCCACTGTCCTGCCGTGTCCAGCTGTCCCGTCTGGCTCCTTGTCCGGTCTTTACCTCCCCTCGTTCTCTACGAACTTGGTGGCGGGTGCTGACCTACAGGATGGGGGAGTTGACCAGTTCACTCCTGCGCGTCAGCGGGTGACCCACTGCACGTGTGCTGACACGGGCCGACACTTGGCCACGTTTACTCGTCGGCCGGGGTCGAGCCTGTACACACTGACTACCGAGTCTCCGCCGGTTGCTGTTCCTGGTCAGGTAGCTGCGTCGGGTCAGGTGTTTGCTGCAGCGTCTCGGTCTGGTCCTGAGTCTGCCCCCTGCTCGTGTCGCCTCCTGTCCCATGAGACTCTTCTCTGGCACCACCGTCTTGGTCACCCCTCCCTGCCTCGTCTCCGAGGCATGGCCTCTCGTGTCCTTGTCTCTGGTCTCCCCCGGTCTCTCCCTCCCCTCCCTCCGGGGCCTGCCCCTACCTGCCTTCCTTGCATCGAGGGGCGGCAGCGCGCCGCTCCTCACTCCTCCGAGTTTCCGCCGACAGAGGCTCCGCTGCAGACTCTTCACATGGACGTGTGGGGCCCAGCCCACGTCCGTGGACAGGGTCACGAGCGCTACTTCCTGCTGGTGGTTGACGATTACTCGCGTTACACCACAGTCTTCCCCTTGCGCCGCAAGGATGAGGTCACTGAGGTGTTGATCGACTGGATCCGCGCTGCTCGTCTCCAGCTCAGGCAGAGTTTCCGCTCTGACTTTCCTGTTTTGCGTCTGCACTCCGACAGAGGTGGGGAGTTTTCCTCAGGCCCTCTGCGAGCCTACTGTCGTGCGAGGGGCATCCGCCAGACGTTCACGCTTCCGGCCTCTCCGCAGCAAAATGGGATTGCTGAGCGCCGCATTGGCATGGTCATGGATGTCGCTCGCACGTCCATGATCCATGCGGCTGCTCCCCATTTTCTGTGGCCGTTTGCGGTTCAGTACGCGGCGCGTCAGATCAACCTTCAGCCCCGGGTCTCCATGCCGGGGACCTCCCCCACTCTGCTGTGGACGGGGAAGGTTGGCGATGCGTCTGCGTTCCGTGTCTGGGGATCTCGGGCTTTTGTCCGAGACTTGTCTGCGGACAAGATGTCCTCCCGTGCTGTTCCCTGCGTCTTCCTTGGCTTCCCCCCTGACGCGCCTGGCTGGCAGTTCTACCACCCCACCTCGCGCCGTGTTCTGTCCTCCCAGGACGTCACGTTTGACGAGTCGGTTCCGTACTACCGTCTCTCCCCCTACCGCGCCGCCCCCCTGCCACCCCCACCACTTTTCCTCGTGCCAGGTCCCCCCAGGTCGACCCCCTCCCCCCTCAAGGTCCTGCTCCTTCAGGTGTGTCTCAGGTAGACCCCCCCCCCTTGGCTGAGCCTTTGGAGGTCACTTCCGACACCTCTGGCCCACCCGAGGGGGGTGACGTTGCTGCTGACGCCCCGACGGCCTCCCGCCGCGCTCCCCGCTTGGAGACCCCTCCGGGGTTCCCTCCACGACCTTCCTCACCGCCTCCGTCGCCGGTTCCTGTTGACTCTGGAGCTGTTGTGGGCGGTGCTCCTGGGGGCGCTGGGTCTGGGGGTGCTGAGTCTGGGGGTGCTGAGCCTGCGTGTGAGGAGACTGGAGGCCTTGCGCCTGGGGGTGCTGAGTCTGGGGGTGCTGCGTCTGGGGGAGCTGAGCCTGTGTCTGCGGAGTCTGGGGGTACTGATATTAAAGTAAGGAAAGCCATGGATGGCGAGAGGCTTTGGTGAGGTTGAAGAAGTTGAACTAGGAGGAGAATGTCGAGATACAAAAGAGAGAGGGTTGGAAACCCTAATTGAACCTAGGGTGTGTTCGGTTTGTTCTAACAATTATGAAATGAACCTAAAATGAACCTGAGTGCGTAACTCGCTCTAAGCCCAGAGAAATAACAATATAAGAACACCAAAATAAAGGCCAGAGCGAGCTCTAGCCTACTCCAACACACCCCCAGGCTAGGTGAAGCTCTGGAGCAAAACACCTAGCGAACCGGCACACCCCCAGAAGTGGAGAGACGCGTGAGCCCAAGCTCGCGCACGTAGAAACGGTGCGGTGCACGCAGGAGGGCCTTGGTGAAAATGTCTGCAAGGTTGGCAGTAGCGTCCACCTTGCGAAGGCGTAAGAAGCCAGACTGCACCAGCTCACGCACAAAGAAATAGCGGACCTCGATATGCTTGCTGCGGGCGTGATAGACAGGATTTTCAGTGAGATGGATCATGCTCGCACTGTCACAGGAGAGCGTCACAGAGGACTGAGAGTGACCAAGCTCAGCAAGGAGAAAGGAGAGCCAACGAGCTTCCTGAGCCGCCAATGTGCCTGCGTACAACTCAGCCTCGCAGGTGGAAAGGCAGACAGAGGATGAGCGAGTGGAGCGCCAGCTGATGAGACCACTGCCAAGAGTAAAACCATAGCCCTGAGATGAGCGACGATCAGGGCGAGAGTCAGCGTAGGAAGAGTCACTGTAGCCGGAGAGAACGGGAGGAATAGAGCCACCAAGAGTGAGAGCAAGGTCAGAGGTGGCACGCAGATAGCGCAAGACGCGCTTAGCAGCTGCCCAGTGCACGTCAGTGTGGCGGCCCAGACCAACAAAGCGAGAGAGAACACTGAGGGGATAAGCAAGGTCGGGGCGAGTGCACATCATAGCATACATGAGAGATCCAACGAGCTCAGGATAAGGCCGCAGCTCTGAGGAGGGAGCAGGGACGGCAGGGGCAGTAAGCTGATGGTTAGCGGGAAGAGGGGTGGAGACCGGCTTGGCTTGCGACATCTCAAACCGCTGGAGGATGGACTGAATGTAGAAAGACTGGGAGAGAGAGATGGTACGAGCAGCACGATCACGACGGATCTCCATGCCGAGGTAGTGACGAAGCTCGCCAAGATCCTTGCACATGAGACGCGCCTGCAGGGCTTTCTTGACAGCTGCAAGATCGGCGGAGTCCTCAGCAAGCAGCACCAAATCATCCACGTAGGCAAGGATGTAAAGCCTGTGGGGGGATGTGCGAATGAAAAGACTGGGGTCGGAAGTGGAGGTAGAGAAGCCAAGAGAGTGAAGAGTGGAGGCGAGCTTGGCGTGCCACTCGCGCGGGGCCTGTTTAAGGCCATACACAGGTCGCTTGAGTTCCCAAACAGTGCCTGGAGGGAAAGGGCGAGGAAAACCAGCGGGGGAGCGATATGAACGGGAGGGAGGCGCGCTACGGAGCGGAATTGAGTATCCGCGTGACTAAAGTGAAGAAAATCGCGAGGATACTAAGAGTGACTGTAAAGAAACGAGAAAATAAAAAAAAAAAAGGAAAATCGTCTAGCTAAGTAGCGCGGAAATGGCCTAAGGGCCAGAAACTTTCTAAGAGATGCGGATAAAACGGAAACGCCTAGGACTAGGCTCTGAATACCATGTTAAAGTAAGGAAAGCCATGGATGGCGAGAGGCTTTGGTGAGGTTGAAGAAGTTGAACTAGGAGGAGAATGTCGAGATACAAAAGAGAGAGGGTTGGAAACCCTAATTGAACCTAGGGTGTGTTCGGTTTGTTCTAACAATTATGAAATGAACCTAAAATGAACCTGAGTGCGTAACTCGCTCTAAGCCCAGAGAAATAACAATATAAGAACACCAAAATAAAGGCCAGAGCGAGCTCTAGCCTACTCTAACAACTGAGTCTCGCGGGGAGCCACTTGAGGGTTCTGAGACTGCTGCTGTGCGGTCCCCTTGGCGTGGCCGCCTTCGTTCGCGTGTGCCTCTCACTCCACAGCAGCTGCACGACTGGTACGGTCGCCGTCCGGGTCGAGCTGCTGGAGCTCGGGGCTCTGCTGCTGGAGGCTCTGGTTCCGGAGGTGCTCGTACTGAGGGTACTGGAGCTGCTGGGACTACTACGTCTGGGGGTGCCCCTGCTTGGGACACCGGGGCTGGAGACCCTGGGGCGGGAGGTGCCGGCTCTGGAGGTGCTACTGCGGGCGGTTCTGCGGTTGGCGACCCTGCGTCTGGAGGTGCCGGTTCTGGGGGTGCTCCTCCTGGGGACACTGGAGCTTCTGGAGGTGCTGGAGCTGCTGGAGACACTGGAGCTGCTGGAGGTACTGGAGCTGCTGGAGACACTGGAGCTGCTGGAGGTGCTGGAGCTACTGGAGGTGCTGGAGCTGCTGGAGACGCTGGAGCTGCTAGAGGTGCTGGCGCTGCTGGAGACGCTGGTGCTGCTGGAGCTGCTGGAGGTGCTGGAGCTGCTGGAGGTGCTGGAGCGACCGGTGCTGACGCAGCCGCGCCGCCTCGCCTGTTCTTCGCTCCACCGTCTCCGTCGTCTCTACCGCCGCCTGACTCTGTTCTCCGTCAGGTTCTTACTCTCCCGTCGTCCACGGGTCTTCCGTTACCTGCTGGCTCACCACTCCCTGCTCCTTCCCCTTACACTGAGCAGGCTGGTGGTCTTGCTGAGCGTCGTGCGCCTGCGTCGCGTCCTGTCTCGCCCGTTCGGTCTGGTCGTCCCAGTCGTACCGGTCGTTGTGTTTCTTGTACGCGTCAGCCGCCTGTACCTAGCGCGCACCTTGTTGTCCGTCGTCCCTCCTTTGCTCCGCCGTCCGCTCCTCTGCCTTCCCCACCTGCGTCCTCACTGCCTGCGGTTCCCGACCCAGCGTCTGACCGGTTTCGTGCTGAGCACCCTACTGTCACGCGTCTGTTAGCTACTGTTGTCACTGACCCGTCGTTCGAGTCCACTGCTGCGTCTGCCTTGGTTGCTGAGCTTGTTGACTTTGCTGCTGTCTGTCGTCTCGACTACGCCACTAGTCTTGTTGCTGCGTCTGAGTCTGTCTGTCCTCCGTCCGTCGGGGGTGAGTGTGCTCTTGGCACGGACGTCCTTGAGGACAGACAGGAGGAGTTCCAGTGTCTTGCTGCTGCTGTACCCCATCTCGTGGCCATGCTGCTTGCCCCTGAGGGAGACCCGGATGCACTTGACATCCCGACTCCGCGCTCTTACGCGGAGGCGATAGAGGGTCCCTACTCCTCTCAGTGGCAGGCAGCCATGGACGCAGAGATGGCTTCCTGGAAGTCCACAGGCACCTATGTTGACGAGGTTCCCCCTCCTGGGGCGAACATCGTCAGTGGCATGTGGATTTACAGGGTGAAGCGGCCACCGGGTTCTCCTCCTGTCTTCAAGGCGCGTTACGTGGCTCGCGGCTTCAGTCAGCGGCAGGGAGTTGACTACTTTCATACCTTCTCTCCCACCCCGAAGATGACCACTCTTCGGGTGCTACTGCACATAGCTGCTCACCGTGACTACGAGCTTCACTCTCTTGACTTCAGCACAGCTTTCCTACAGGGCAGCCTGCACGAGGAGATCTGGCTGCGCCGCCCACCTGGCTTCACTGGGACGTTTCCTCCTGGCACCCAGTGGAGCCTCCGGCGGCCGGTCTACGGTCTCCGCCAGGCGCCGCGTGAGTGGCACGACACACTGAGGACTACAATTGCGGCTCTTGGGTTTGCTCCTTCTACTGCCGACCCGTCGCTATTTCTGCGCACTGACACCTCTTTGCCGCCGTTCTACATCCTCGTGTACGTCGACGACTTGGTCTTTGCTACAGCTGACACTGCTGGACTCGCCCACGTGAAGTCCGAGCTGCAGAAGCGACACACGTGCACAGACCTGGGTGAACTGCGCATCTACCTTGGCTTGCAGATCACCCGGGACAGAGCACGACGCACCATTACACTGTCTCAGTCACACATGGTGCAGCAGGTCCTTCAGCGTTTCGACTTCACGTACTCCTCGCCTCAGGCCACTCCTCTGTCTACTCGTCACTCGCTCTCAGCTCTGCCTTCGGATGAGTCCGTAGAGCCGAGTGGCCCGTACCCAGAGCTTGTGGGCTGCCTCATGTACCTGATGACATGCACACGACCTGACCTTGCATACCCTCTTAGCATCCTGGCACGCTATGTTGCTCCTGGGAGACACCGACCAGAGCACATGGCTGCAGCGAAGAGGGTGTTGCGCTACTTGTGCAGTACGTCAGGCATGGGGCTAGTGCTTGGAGGGCAGAGTCCAGTGGTCCTCACTGGTCACGCAGACGCTTCTTGGGTTGACGACCTGGCTACTCAGCGGTCGTCACAGGGTTACACTTTCAGCCTTGGTTCCGGCTCTGTTTCGTGGCGGTCTACCCGCTCGTCGTCTGTTCTCAGCTCTAGCTGTGAGGCTGAGATCTACGCAGGAGCCATGGCTGCACAAGAGTTACGCTGGCTTACCTACCTGCTGACTGACCTGGGAGAGCCGCCTCGTTCTCCTCCAGTTCTGTACGTAGACAACAAGGCAATGCTGGCCTTGTGTCGGGAGCACAGACTGGAGCACAGAACGAAGCACATTGCTCTCCGCTACTTTCTTGCACGTGAGTTGCAGCAGCGTGGTCAGCTGCGCCTTGCTTACGTGGCCACTCGGGCCAACACTGCTGATATCTTCACCAAGGCACTTCCGCCTGGTGATCATCAGCGCTTCTGTACGATGCTAGGTCTTGTGCCCACTTGGCCTCACTTGCTCACTTCTTGACCTTGCTTGTACTGCATTTTCTATATACATGCTCTTGCTTGTTTGTCTTTATATATAATCATGCATGTGAACTGGCCTTGTGGCCTTGACCTTGTACTCAGATTTGTGGTGACGTTGTGATCCACTCTGAGCTTGCTTGCTTGACTGGTCTTGTGGCCTCTAGGTCTTCCCCACTTTGCCTATGGGGGTGTGTCAAACATATGTTATATTGTTTATATC